ATATAGTAATCTTATAAGTATTGATCCTATCTCATAAATATAAAAGTAGCAAGGCAAAATATCACATTTCATAAATAACCTGAATAACTTGCTACTTTAAATTTGATCATGCTCTGAATTTCTTACGTGTGTTATTTCCTCCTAAAAGTACATTACTTGAAAAAGCTGTTGCAAACAGCAACAGAGGACTACAACCTGAACTACTGCTCTTCAGTCTTCCCTCCTGTAGTGAGAATTAAAGTATGCTCTCTGGTACCAGGCATTTGCCTGTTCTTAGGTAATGAAACCCTATACTATTTCTTTGTCTCTAGAAAGAACACCGGCACATGTCAGAAATGGGCATTTTCTCAAACAGTATATATTGCTCTAGAGGAAAACATAGCAGATAGAATAGGCATAACAACCTAGAAATCTTAAAATACATGCAGTCATATCACAAGTCGAGGACATGGTTACATAAATCACTGTTCATAAAGAAGAGGGTTAGGGTTAGATAATCAACAATTGAACAAACACTTGTACTTAAAAACATCACAGGAAAAACATTTTAAAATAGGCCACCAAGCTGCTGCTTCTGTGATATGACAGGACATGTTTTACATTCCCTAGGTTACTGGAAGTATTTTCTAAAATAAGCAAACAGAAAACAAATAAGGAAAAAACTAGTTTAAATCTAGGTTATGGTACAACATACATATAGCTGAATAGATTGAGTGAAATGTTCAATTTTTAGAAAAAATAGATTCTATTTTATAGTTTAAAGCAGAAAGATAGTGAAAGGGATTTTAAAAAATATAACTTCATTATTTGTAATAGCCAGAACCTGAAAGCAACCTAGATGCCCCTACTGAAGAGTGGATAGAGAAAATGTGGTACATTTACACAATGGAGTATTACTCAGCAGAAAAAAACAATGGAATGTTGAAATTTGCAGGCAAATGGATGGAAGTAGAAGAAACCATCCTGAGTGAGGCAACCCAGTCACAAAAAGAGAAACATGGTATGTACTCACTCATATATGGATTTTATACATAGGGCAGAGGATTACCAGTCTGCAATCCACACTGCCAGAGAAGCTAGGAAACAAGGAGGACCCTAAGAGAGACATGCATGGTCCCTGGAGAAGGGGAAAGGGACAAGATCTCCTGAGCTAATTGGGAGCATGGGGTGAGGGGAAAAGGAGTTAGGAGAAAGAGAAGGGGAGAAGAGGACATGAGGGAACAGGAAGATGGAGTCAGGGGAAGAATAGAGGAAAGCAAGAAAAGAGATACCGTCATAGAAGGAGCTATTACAGGTTTAAAAAGAAATCTGGCAGCCGGGCGGTGGTGGTGCACGCCTCCCAGCACTCGGGAGGCAGAGGCAGGCGGATCTCTGTGAGTTCAAGGTCGGGCTGGTCCGACAGCCTCCAAAACAATACAGAGAAACCCTGTCTCGTAAAACCAAAAAAGAAAAAAAAGGAAAAAAAAAGAAAAGAAAAGAAAAAAAGAAATCTGGCACTAGGAAAATGTCCAGAGATCTACAAGGATGATCCCAACTAACAATCTAAGCAATAGTGGAGAGACTACCTTAAATGTCCTTCCACGGTAATGAGACTGATAACTACTTTATATGCCATTCTAGAGCCTTCATTCAGTAGCTGATGGAAGCAGAAGCAGACACTCACAGCTAAACACGGAGCCAAACTCCTGGACTCCAGTTTCAGAGAGGGAGGAGTGATGAACAAAGGGGTCAAGACCAGGCTGGAGGAACCCACAGAAACAGACCTGAACAACGGGGAGCTCATGGATCCAGACTGATAGCTGAGAAACCAGCATAGGACTATTTCAGACCCCCTGAACGTGGGTGTTAGTTAGGAGGCCTGGGCAATCTATGGGGCCTCTGATAGTGGATCAGTATTTATCCCTAGTATAAGAATGGACTTTGGGAGCTCATTCCACATAGAGAGATACTCTCTCAGCCTAGACACATACGGGAGGGGTCTAGTCTCTGCTCCAAATGATGTGAGAGATTTTGAGGATCCCCCATGGAAGGCCTTACCCTCCCTGGGGAGCAGAAAGGGGATGGGATAAAGGGTTGGTGGGGGGCAAGGGAAGAGGGGAGGGAGAGGGAACTGGGATTGACCTTTAAAACAAGCTTGTTTCTAATTTAAGTAAGAAAAAGAAAATATAGCTTCAGAGACCAGAGAGTTAGGTCAATAGTTGAAAGCACTTATTGCTCTTGCAGAGGACCCAAGTTAAGTTCCCAGAACCCACGTCAAAAGGCTCACAACTATCTGTAACCCTGCAACAGGAGCTAGGATGCCTCTGATCTCTGGTCTCTGCAGGCACCTACATTCACGTGCACATACCCATACATACGTACAAACACATATTTTTTATATAACACACACACACACACACACAGAGAGAGAGAGAGAGAGAGAGAGAGAGAGAGAGAGAGAGAGAGAGAGAGAGAGAGAGCACTGCCTGAAATCACTTTCCCTTTAAGCCTTTCACATTTAGACCACCGCCTCCTAGCTTATCAACTTTACTCCTATACTAGTGACCTTTTTTTTTTTTTTAATACTAGTGACCTTAACTTCTGAAGTTCTGACAGTTCCCTTCTTTAATAGACCTAGATCCACGACTCAAAGCCTTAGTAACTAGTGGGCACAGTGCCACACACATACGGATAATTTTACCATTTTGGGTGGCTGAAGGACTGGGTACAAGCCCAGCCTGGGCTACACAGTAAGACTTATATTTCAAAACCAAAACAACAGCATGTAACTCTAATAATGTCCTTGTATACATCCTCTAATCTACTGTACCCTTTCTACCAAACTTTTAGCAAAACTTTAATAACTGTGGTTTAACTTAATATTGCTTACAACAAAAAGTATTAATTGGTATTATTTCTATTGTGTGAGGCAGATACTGCAAGTTCTCAGCCAGTATCCATGTTCTCTTTTCTTACTAAAGAAATCCTGATTTTACTCAGCAAGTTAGTTCACCTGCTAAAATGCTATCCTTCCCAGGCTCCCTAGCAACAGGGATTTGTGACATTAGGATTTAAAATTCTGATGAGTCAGGGAAAACTCTTTCAAAGGATCTAATCCACCCAATAGACACAAGGAAAATAGTACTCCTGGAGATAAATAAACAGAAAAACAAAGTAATTCACAGCTCTGAGTCATAGTGCTGCTGTGCTCTGCCCTGAACTACCTGCTCCCATGTTTGTGTTACCTGAGGGTAACAGAAGTCTTATTACAGTCTTTAAAATAGTTGTGTATTTAAAGTGTGTAGCATGATATCATCAGATACGCATAGATAGTAAAATAGTTAACATACATCAACTCACAGTCATTTTCTTTATTTTTATGGCAAGAACAAAAGAAAAAATTATTCTTACCTACTTTGAGTTATTATTTTAGAGTTTCTACTATTTACAATAAATACAATTCCTGACTTGTCCATTCCTCTTCCAACACAGTAACCAGAGACGCTTTAAAAACATGTATAAGATCACATTGCTCATATCCTGTTAGGCTCTTTACCAGGTTAACTACATTTTTTTTGACTTAGCCCTGCAACATCTCTCAGCTTATTTCCTATAACCCTTCACCTGCTTTCACCCTGCTCATGTTTGTATGCTTCAGACACACTGGAATCCTTGAGCACTGATCAAGCCAAACTGCTGGCCCCTAGGCCTCTCTGCAGGATGCCTTCCTTCCCAAGCTTCACCTGATTTACCTCTGAAGTAACTTCCCTAACCACACTTTCCAAAACTGCTCTAATGTTCCCTCCCACTGCTTTCTGACTTCAGACTGCTTTGTTATGTTAAATTATGGTTGCTTAGTTCTTGTCTTACCCCTAAAAAGGACTCTCCCTGAAGACAAGGACCTCATGTGTCTTCTTCTACACTGTATTCCCAGTGACCCATACCAGGTGCTCAATAAATATCTGAATAATAAAAACATATCATTTCATTTACACTGAAGACTCTGTGTGGCTAGATGGAAAAGGTGAGCTATGGCAGTGTCTGGCCAGCCTTTCTTCCTGACTCACTTGTAGAAGTATGATCAAACAGCTGCCCCATGCTTCTGTCACCATAGGGCTGTGCCTGTCACCACACTGCCAACTGCAGTCATGCCCTTCCCACCATGGGTGACTGTATCCTTCCATACTGTAAGGCAAAATAAACCCTTTCCTCCTTGAGCCACTTCTTCCAAGAATTTATCACCATGAGAAAAACAATCACTACATCTTGCCTCTCTAGTCTTTGACAATGCCTGATTCTGATTAAGTAGATCATTTACATTTATAAAGTAAATAGCCACATGCAGAACTATTATCTAATTACTTACAAGCCCAAGTGAGCAGTTGTAGTGTAGGGGGAGGACTAGAGAGGGTTGACATCAAACTTCTATAGGCCAACCTCAGACAATTAGTATGAAATTAAACAAACAAACAAAAAAGCAACAGTTATGGGCTGGAGCTCAGTGGCAGAGTACATCCACCATGCCCTAGGCTCAATCCCCAACACTGAAAAAACAAAAAAAAGATTATAACACAATTAAAAGCTTCCTCAGTAGCAAATATTTTATAATTAAGAGACTGTTTCATATGCCCTATGGCATCCATCACAATTCTCCTGGAGTACTTAATAAAGTAAAAACTATAAAAATAACAGTAGCTACAAGTGACTAGAGTGCTTGCAAGGAAAAAAATAACACAATTATTAGCAAGGGTTGTGCTAAGTGTCGAGAACTCCTTTCTTGGTAGAGTGCAATAACCCCTATAAGCTACACTTTCATCTGTGAAAACAATTCAAAAGGGTTCTTAGCTAAGTTTATTTCTAGTGTAGCTTTAAATCTATATGGGCTGTTATAAAATGGTATGTAGAAAGATAGGATATTAATTGTAATGTTTTAAAGACCCAATGAATCAAAAGTGAGCATTCTTTAACATCAATGATTTCAATTAACTTTAAGAAATGTCATGCTAATATGTATACTGTACCTTTCTTAGGCATTCATATTCCTCACGAAGTTCTCCAGGCTTGCTTAATTTGATTGGTGCTCTGAATACAAACTCTAGAAGAAAAGGAAAATACTTTTAAATAGGTTTTTGTAAGAAGGAACCATACAATGTCCTACCACTGACCACCACATTATACATCACATAAAAAAATTATGGTTTGTTTGTTTGTTCTGTAATACATGGTCTCAGTATATAGCTCTGGCTGCCCAGGAACTCAATACGTAAACCAAGCTGGTTTTAAACTCTGCCTGCCTCTGCCTCTGTACTGAGATCAAAGGCACCTGGTCAAAGTATGAGTATCTTTATTTGAATATTCATTCATGAGCCTACAGAACAAAGTCACTACTTCCCAACATGTTCTTCAAGGTGCTCCACTAACTGATTATCTTTTCAATATCATTATACTGCTCAACCCTTGACTAATTAACCACAAAACACTAAAATTCTATCTTCTTTCCTTTCTGTATATATTTCTAAATCAAAGAGATGAGGTCTGTAAGACGCATAAAGTACATGGTAGCTATGCAAATGGCAATAAAAGTGAAAATTTAGAACAGGAATAAAAGGTAAGTCTTTTTAAAAGATTTATTTATTTATTTATTTATTTATTTAGCAGTGTTCTGCCTACATGTACGGCTGCAGGCCAGACCTCTGGAAGAACAGCCAGTGTTCTTAACCTCTAAGCCATTTCTCCAGCCCTAAAAGGTAAGTCTTAACTGTTATCAAAAAGCAAGAGCCAAGCATGGTGGTACATGCCTGGAATCCCAGCACTCAGGAACCAAAAGCAGGGGCTGCTATAAATTCAAGAATATCCTGGGCTACAGAGCAAGAACCTATTTTTTTAAAGGGTGGAGGGGTACACACTTTATTTCTGTAAATATGACAACAGCTTATATCCTCTAGATGTTTAGTGTTCTAACTGTAGTAAAATTTTACAATTTATTGATAATGCTACCTCCCAGTGTTGGTTCTAGAAAAACTAAGTTCCTCAAATGTCCTTTGCTTTTTCAGTTGTCTCAACTATTTTCCAAAGAAAGTATACTGAGGAATAAAGAAGACACTTAGAAACCGATGTAAAGCCCTCCTCCCCGCACCACACTTAGACCCCCAGTTTGGAAAAGAAACAACCTATCAGCCTTACCCATTTCAAGACCTGATGACTATTTCAATCATATCCAGAAGCACATTCCACTTACAAGAAGCTCATTTAAAAGCTGACACTTGAAGAGAAAGGATAACAAAATTCCTTTCTAAAAAGTACTCTAGGAGCTGGAGGTGGCTCAGCAGTTAGGAGCATTGGCTGCTCTTCCAGAGGACCTGGATTCAGTTCCTACAACCTACTTAGTGGTTCAGCCATCTGTAACTCTAGTTCCAAGGGATCCAAGCCATCTTCAGATCTCCAGGCACCAGACACACATGTTATGTACAAAAATACCTGCAGGTCAAACACCCATCACAGAAAATGCTTTTTTTTTTAAAAGTACTTCAAAGGCACATACTGCTAATCTATTACAGGGGAGATACTTCACACATTTGTCAGAGGAACCTTCACAGAAACAACACAGTAGGCATTCTAGCCATGCTACAACTGAGGTAGGCAATTGTGGGTCTCAATGGTCTGCTTGACACAGAACCACAGGTGCATGGCAAAGATAGAAGAGAAGGTTTCACAGGAGTAAAAAGAGAATTATTTAATGATTAAAGGGCAATGCTTACAAAATGAAGGCCAATGTCTCTCCCCTACTACAAAAAGCATTGTAATGGTGTCCCTCTTAAAAAGGTCTTCCTGGCATGTCTGTGGGAGATGGTCTTGAATGTGAACTGATGCAGGAGGGCCCAGTCCACTGTGGGAATATGCCCAGGCACCATTCTCCAAGCAGGTGGTCCTAGGCTGTATACAGAAGCTTAACTAAGTGTAAGTCTGTACTTGAGCCAGCAAGCCACATTCCTCTACGGTTTCAGTTTCAAGTTCTTGGGAATAAAGTTTTAAAATAAACCGTTCTACCCTAGCTTGATTTTGGTCAGTATTTTATAACACAAAGGAAACTAGTATACATCCTTATTTATCTAAAAAGACAAAATACTCATTAAAAAGATAACCGTTGTGAATTTGCATGAACCTACAACACAGCAAATATGTAAAAATTTAAGGATAAATTAATATAAAATTATGGTAAGAAATTTAATATACCACAATTAAAAACATGCATTAGGTAAACCAAAAAGGCAGTAAAAATAAACAGAAAAATATGCAATAAAATCATACATTTTATCATATTTTCATATGTGTCCACCCAATGAATAAAATATTACTTAAAGAAAACAAGAAACAATTAAGATATTTATAATATACTGCATTACAAAGATATTGCCAACAGTTTCAAAGAATCCAAACTATAAAGACTCATCTTTAACACTGACTACTGTTTTCCAAGTTGAGCTCTCTAGGTATGCAACGGCCAACGGTTACCCAATATTCTTTCTCATTAAATCCCTTTCCTGATTAAATTTGCAAATGTAAATTTCTGTTTATTACAACTGACAAGGTTGTCTATTTCTATTTTTCATATAGTACTCTGAAATAAATAGTAAACCAAGAGCTAGTAAAAACTAAGAAGAAACAGATTTTAAAAAGAGAGAGAGAGACCTAAAAGCAGGTACTATACTTCAATCTGCAGTGACTGTTAACACTATGACTGGCATTACATATATGCTCCTTTGCATGGTTGCTTGTGTATCTACAGGACAAACAACTGAATGCTGAGCCAAAGATGACTATGCTTTTAACCTTCCTCAGACTACACTGGGTTATGGTCCCACTAGCACAGCATGAAATAAATTACCATCAGTTCAGCAAATCTCAAGTGTTGAAATTGCAACCTTGTCAATCTAAGAGGCAACGATGACATTTCATGAGTAAAACTGGGGACTTTCCACAGAGCTAAGAGTAGTTTACCTTTCCTCTGTGATCTGTTCCCGTTATTGCTTACATAAGCTCAGTTTCTTGATTTGGTTTTTTTTTTTTTTTTTGGTTTTTACGAGACAGGGTTTCTCTGTATTGTTTTGGAGGCTATCAGTCCAGCCCGGCCTCGAACTCAGAGATCCGCCTGCCTCTGCCTCCCGAGTGCTGGGATTAAAGGCGTGCGCCACCACCGCCCGGCTGTTTCTTGATTTGTTAAAGTCCCTCTGTATAAGTCACACCATCTGAAGAAAAACACTTTTCCTATCTATCATTTACGTGGATTTTGCTTATGGAAGATATTCTTATGTAATATATTATTCAAATTGCTCTCTCTCTCTTTTTAAAGACAGGCTCTTTGCCTGGAACTCAGAGATATACCTGCCTCAGCCTCCCAAGTGTTAGGATTGAAATTAACGGCATGCATGCTATGCTTGGGTTCAAATTGTTCTTTTATGGATTCTGCATTTTGTATCATATTTGGACTATCTTGAGACCAAGACACAATTCTACCACAGTTCCTTCTGGTACAAACCAAAACAATCTTTTCAGATTCCCTTTTTAAAGTTCTAAGTATTTTGAGGAGCAACATAAGGAGCATAATCTTATTCAGACTTATAAATAAGACTACTATTCAACACAAGAGAATAAAAATACTCTGGTGATAGCTTGGGGAAAAAATGATAACTTAGTTTACCATTAGGGAATTTTCTGTCTAAAACAGTTCTTGCTGGTTATTTACCATACAACGAATTCTATTGTTTTGTACAATTAGTATACACTAATTTCAAAAGTGAATAAAACTTTCAAGTATCGAGAGCTTAATATCCTTATCTTGTAAATAATCTAAAACTTAAAATGACCCTAGACAAGAATTAAGCCCCAGATAAGTCAGGCTCAATTTCCTCTTCTATAAAATCAGAATAACAGTAAATACAATTCTAACTAATGACATCATTCATTTTAGGCTATAAGGATCAAATGAGTATAAGGAGAGTGAAAACCCTTTGTACATTATTTCAGGCAGTGGAAAACAGCACAATTTATTAAATATAAGATTATGGCTGATATTAATGTACCATGTTCTTTACACTATAAACTTGGTTTTATTAGCAAGTTAAACTTATAAGAAACACAGACCTTGCCTAGCTGTTTTATATGCATATTCCACAAAAGGCTAAATTCACTTTGGAACATTTATTAAGAAATCATTTAAGGTTAAACAGGAAGCCAGCATCTGGCATCAAAACTTGCAGACGTGCTCATAATATTGGATTTAGACACTTGCTCTGTCAATGAAGTTAAAGTATTCAGAGATGTTGGAGCTTCTCTTTGCCTCAGTTTCCTTATATAATAAGTATGAATTAAAATATTGGCCAACCTATCTCATATGCAATTAGACCACAATTATTATGATCTATCTATCATATCATACTCTGCTCCTAACTTGTTTGAAATCAAAAGTCAAGAGTAGTGTTCCATCATATATCCACTAACATTAGAACTGACATAAAACATCTTAATATTGGGTTAGAATAATTTAAAAATGTAAAATGCTAAACTAAGCATGATGGCACATGGCCCATGCCTGTAATCTCAACACTTCAAAGGGTAAGACAGGAAGAACTTGGGTCTGAGGCCAGCCTAGGCTACATAATAAAACCCTACATCAATAATAAAAATCATCACCAATATTTTTAGAAGTATTGTAGAGTGCAAGAGGTCCTTGTGCACACAGAGAAGCCTCGAAGAAGCCAGGAAAAGTGAAATATGCAGACTTATTTCTTCAAAGGAAGATTTCACCTGTCCTCCTGGAATGCAGGTAAAGAACGTAGTTTACAACCTTGGTGATCCCTTGCCATTTGCTGAGGCAGGCCCTACTGTATTCCCCTAGAATGTGTTTTGCTTATCTCAGATCCTTTATACCTCAATCGTGAGCATTGCTTCTAGGCCATAAAATCCATTCTTTGGAGTGACGTCACTTGTGCTTTACAACAGCCTAAGTGACTGTCTAGGGCAATCTAGACACCATAGGCATTATGTTTACTGTAGTCATTTTTCCTGGACACTATTTCTGAGTCAACAGGACCTATT